ATCATTAGTACAACATTAATTATATCAGTTTTCTACACGGTCGTAAACACATGATAAGTTAAAATATAATACGTGTTTCATAATAGTAATATAATTACAACAAATTTTACTGCCACACGCTTATCGGGCTAGGAATACAATAATCGGTCTCTCTAGTCTGTATATCATTAAGCTCATTTTCTCAGAACGTGATATAATTGAATAGTCAGTTATGGTATGTAAATTTTGTATGGCAAGAATATCTAGAAGAACTAGGAGTGAATAAGTTGTTAATTACTTTCAGTTGCGTCTAGTGCGCGCTGTAAATCAGTACAATAGGTAACGCTTTCTCGTTTTGAAATTATTTTCATCATTAGCGTTTATGATTTGAATTTAAATTTGTAAGAAATTAGATAATATTTATGTGATCACTAGTTAAATTTAGGTATAGCCAATTAAAAAATAAATTAATTTAATAATATTTATGGGATCACTAGTTAAATCTAGGTATAGTCAATTAAAAAATAAATAAATTTAATAATATTTATGTGATCACTAGTTAAATCTAGGTATAATCAATTAAAAAATAAAATAAAATAATATTTATGTGACCACTAGTTAAATCTAGGTATAGTAAATTAAAAACAAGTAAATAATATTTATGTGATCACTAGTTAAATCTAGGTATAGTCAATTAAAAAAAGTGAATAATATTTATGTGATCACTAGTTAAATCTAGGTATAGTCAATTAAAAAAGATTAAATTAAATAATATGTATGTGATCAATAGTTAAATCTAGATATAGCCAATTAAAAAAATAAATAAATTTAATAATATTGCACTTGTCTTTCTTTTGACTATTTTCTTAACTGTTTTACGGAGTTTTGAACAGTTTTGATCGTCTTAGAATATCTTGAATTAGGCGCTTAAGGTATAGTTGAGCTTTCTGTTCATTTAGTTTTTAATGGAAAGTTTTATTAAAGTTGTCTGACGAACGACTAAAGAACAATTTTTAAACCGTAAGATAAACGCCAGAACAAAGATTGAAAGGCCAACTCCATTATAGTTAACAGTTAACACTCTATATAAGTTGATAAGATAAATGTTCCACTACTACTGTTCCTACCCCCACAGTGGCACAGTGGAATGTCTGCAGACTTACAACTCTAGAAACCTTCTTTCGATACCCGTGGTGGGCAGAGCACATATAGCCCATCGTGTAGCTTTGTGCTTAACTTAAAAAAAACAACAAAAAAACTACTGCCACTGACGTTCCGTGTTGTCATCTCTGATTCTATCATAGTTTTATGTAGAATTTTACATCAAATTCAACATTTTTTATATCAAACTCTAAATTCAAAATCCCAGGCTAATTTGTTATTTATTTTTATATTTCACGTCATTTAAACCACTTTAAGTTTATACTTGAAGACGTTTCATAAATTTTCTTCTTTTTTATCAAAGCTAAAGCAGAATACTAAAAAATAATTATATCTAGTCATCGCGCATTATTGTGATAAATACCATTGAAACGTAGTTTGTGATTTAATATCTCACTTCTTCATAAATAAATAGATTAATGACACCAATTTAGATGTCCAAAATTGCTGTCTGTTTGTTGCAAGTTTATTATCATATCCTATAAGAGGGCAAACTTCCTGAGTAAAACTGCTCATAGAAATCGTGAATCTAATTTAATGGTCTATTTAAAAAAAGAAAGTCAGACATGTACCTAGTGGTTGTTTCTAACATATATCTTTATTTTATTGATAACACTGCCAGAAAAATATACAGGAGAATGTGCTCGAAACATTGTCCATTAAAATTTAGAAAAATGGAATGTGTGCGGAACATTGTCGATTAGAATGTAGAAGAATGGAATGTGCGCGAAACGTCAATTAGAATGTAGAAGAATAGAATGTGCGCGAAACGTCGATTAGAATGTAGAAGAATGGAATGTGCGCAAAACGTTATTGATTAGAATGTAGAAGAAATGAATATGAACGAAATATTGTCGATTAAAATGTAGAAGAATGGAATGTGCGCGAAAACGTTGTCGATTAGAATGTAGAAGAATGGAATGTGCGCGAAAACGTTGTCGATTAGAATGTAGAAGAAAGGAATGTGCGCGAAACGTTGCCGATTAGAATGTCGAAGATACTTGAAGGAACACGAAGGAAAGGTGGTGTAATTCTTTGTTTCTGTTTAAGTATGATTAATTCTCCTGTTATTTGACCATTTTGTAGGTAGAGTCTGGTGATAACGCCGTACGATTTGTGTTTAATGTCTCTTCTGTTACGTGTCATACACTTCATTATACTAGTAATGATAGTTCTTCTTAGTACGAACAGAAGATGTATAATAAATAGAGAAGTCATAACCCATGAAATATGATAGTCTGAGTGTTTTTGGTAGCTTGACTTACGATAGTCTGAGTGTTTTCGATAGCTTGACTTATGATAGTCTGAGTGTTTTCTTGAGTCGCTTGAGCTGCTGTCTTTTACTAGAAATGTCGATTGGTTTGTCATTTTTGATCACATCTTTCGGCCCAGTGTCTTTTGTACTAGAGGTGTTTTGTGGGTATCACGTGTTGTGAAATAGATAAAACCTCGCAGTCATTGAGAAGCCTTGCACGGCCATCAGGTTCGTTTAATACCCTACGTACCTAACCTCTTACGCGAGTAGTCTAGGTATATCACTTAACTATTTTAATTAATTTGAAAGAACAGCTTTCAAATTATATAATTTGATAAACTTTGTGGATTCAAATTACACAATACCACAACAAAAAACGTCTTACGCGAAACACGAGTTAATATCAAAACGTTTATTGATTTTTGCCATCCTAAACATTTGCCTACCAGATGAAGCCGGCCCAGTCAAACTGTTACCCGCGCCTATACCGTAGATTTGTAGTCTAATAAAGCCTTAAATTTCAATAGCTTCTTAATCGCCCATCCATCTACAGAGGTTGAGTACGTTATAATATAACAATTTTGGAGCCTCGCGACGTCGTTGTAGTTCATGTCATCTCGTTTGGTAATATTCTATTTCACGACCGTGCATCCTGGTAATAGTCCTGCTGAGTAGTTTCTATCGCAAAAGACTCAGTCGTAAGGTTGTCATGTCTAAATCACGCCACTTCTCCGTTTGCTTTTCATAAACCTCCTAGTACAAGAGGACGACAGTTTCCCCAGCTCCCGTCAAAACAGTTCGATCTCACTGAAATCCATAGGCTCACTGTTATCTGGGGCACGTGGACGGTTTATGTCACTGATTTATGTTTGTGGATTCTCATCCGTTACAAGACACCACAATTTGTTTACCACGGCTGGGGTACCACTTGTTGCAGGCTTCTTTCTCGCGTTGACTCATATTATTTTGTTTCCCAGTGGAGATTCTCGATCTGAATACACTTTTTTGATCAGACTGTAGGGAAATTTTGCCTCGTAAAAGGCTTTTACATACCCTTCTCTAAAACGATCAGTTTAGGTGGCTTTAAATTACATATAAACGTCATTGTAAAATATAGTTCTGATACATTCCGTTCCACTTCTTATTAGTTTATTTTATCTAAAACTTATCTGACTTCTTAATTCCTTAAGAGATTACTCTGTATTGAAATTTTCTTGATCGATAAAGTTTTATATTTCCATTATCTCAATAGATTCACAATTGTAATTGGGAGTGAAGATTTTTCAATCCATGTGACATGAGGTCCACATCTGTGGGATTGCTCATTTTTAGTTACCTTGATAAAAATGATTGGTATAGGGGTGATAAAATAATTTAACTTAATATGGATGTGAGAAAGTTTAGGATAAATGTGCGAATACAGTGAATGAAGTAGTCATGGAGATAAATATTTGAAGTATATCAAAATGATCGTATATTATCAAATCTTAGAAATATATAATTTAACTTATATATAAAGCCGCCGATTAATTGCATACATATAATATCAGCTGATGTACAAATTTAACGTACGGGGAAGATATGGGGGCTCTCGGAGGTAACATAGGAGGGTCAGATCCAAAAGTTAAACCCTTATGTTACTCTCTAGGGGACTGTAAGGATACCTGTCAGGTTTAGTGATAACCAGTTCAGCAGTTCGCCTATTATAAGCATACACACACACACAAACTTTTGTCGAATAATGGTTTAGATATTTTTTAAAAACATCTGGTGGCTGTAACCGGATATACTCAAAACTTTGTATATTAGTTATCTCTTGTGATTAGAATTATTTCGGGCATACAGGCATTGAGTGCATCTTTAAGGTAATTTTTATTGAAACAACTGTAATATATTACAGGCATTGAGTGCATCTTTAAGGTAATTTTTATTGAAACAACTGTAATATATTACAGGCATTGAGTGCATCTTTAAG